ATTTAGTCATTGCAGTTGGTAGAAATTATGAATGTCTTCCTTGCTAAGGAAAGTGTTGCCGAACTTTATACTAAAACCAATTAGTTAGTTTATTTTTAGATAGTCTATGAGCTTTGAATTTTTATTTTTATATTTTATCTAGTAAAATATTATTTGAGCGCACTTTCGTAAAGGAAATGTTACTCTTAATTTCAGTTTATTTTTAGATAGTCTCATGGTTTTTAGTTTCTCTTTTTATATTTTTGTCTAGTAAATATTATTTGAGCACACTTTCGTAAAGGAAGTGTTACTCTTAATTTCATATCGTTACCGGGTGTTGTTGTTAAGTAGTTTATAATGCAATACGAAGTTGATCTATGTTAACTCCACAAACGGTATTTGCCTTGATTTTTGTGACACAGGTTACCGTTACCTGCGAGTTCTTTCAGAGTTTCTGGGCTTTATCAACTTCTGTTATCGAATTGATAACATATCGTTTTGCGATTCAACTCCTACCCACCATGATACCCATATCCAGATGTATGTGACCCCGTAGGCGAAATACATTTTCGTGTAAATGAAATTCTTACCCTTGGAACCTCTCTTGAATGGCTACTATGCAAAAGTTGTGTGAATTGAAACGGGTGGGTGTGCCTTTGTTGAGTGGGGATTGGAAAGGGGTGTGAGGGACATGAATATGGGAACAAAGACATTGACCACGTTTGTGGCACTTGCGTGTGGATATCCGTTGGGCTTCATGTGTGTGCATATATGTACAAGAGCGAGGTTTTGCTCCTGGATTGAGAATCTTATGGATGGATTAACGCGGCAAGTGAGATCCAACTGCGGTTATGAGAGTGACTCTTTCCAATTTCCTTCGAGGTTTTCCCCTCCTTTTCCATTTTCACATTCTCTTGCCGCTCGCACCTAGCGAATAGGGCAAAAGTAGTTGAGCAAGAGGTTTAATGCTTGACTCTCGACCGGAATGAGACTCGGTTGGGGTACGACGTTTTGCTCGCTAAATCCGCGCCCACTTTTCTTATCTTTCTGCAAGAAAAAAACGAGCGGACCCCATCTTAAAGGGTTTGTTTTGTGAATTATTGGTCGGATGTTGGTCCTGAACCTGAAAGTTGAAATCCTTGTCCATGACATTCCAGGTTCTTGTGCAGCACAAAAATGTTTCCTCTATGTACCGGACTCTCACCTCTTACTCACCGTCACCCACTGCTAAAAAGTCAGGGGCAGCCCAAGGGTTGAACGACTTTGCCTTCAACAGTTCAATATCGTGAAAGAGGATTCCTTCACGAAATTTTTGGTTTCGACACTAGAGCGTCGTGTGCAACCTTGAAACCCATCATATGTCACACGATTGTGGGTAACGCATGAAGCATCGCCATGATATCGGATCGAGTGAGCACACATGATTGAGTGTTATGGGCTCCGTCACAAGTGCATTCCTTTTATGCAACTGTGCATTGACCTCGCCAAACGAATTTCATGTCTTTTGAGTTATCGGTCAAAACGTTTGAAAAAAGGAAAACATATATGCATGTTTGAGTTAATCACGATAATAATATTTTATTGCGTGGCGCGTGGTTAAACCACCAGTCCCCCGGACGTCAGAAACCTCGGGGGTACCGGTAGTCCCCCCGATGTCAGAAACCTCGGGGGTACCGGTAGTATAGAGTGGAAAACCGGTCGGGCCTGAAAAAATGGAATTTGCGAGAATGCATCAAATCGGCGCGGCGAATATTTGACGGTCAAAATTATTTTATTTTTTTTCTGATACTTTTCCCTGAAAGATCACGACTTAATCTACGGACCCTCAAACTTTCAGACCTTTTGATGAATTTTTCTTAGCACAAAAATTTGGCAAAGTTGCCGCTTACAAATGGTGGGATTGGACTCGTCGGTAACGAACGGTGGTCGCTGCCCCTCCGTACAACCCGACCCTAGCAGACCAGGCCGAGGGGTTTCGACTGGCGGGGGAACTGGTGGTTTAAATTTGGATGTTTTAGTCGACCGGCACAGAACCTCACGTGGGAGATCAACGCCCTACACGTCGGTTCGCATGGGGGTCCGATCTAGGCGTAGATGACTCGTACCTCCTATGCGTATGAGAAACGTTCTTGGCTGAAACACCTTAAAGATTATATGTAAAAACTTCCGCACAGGTTCAATGGTCGGTGGGGATACACCCCCCCAAGGGATGGTGACAGCTCCCCCAGGTGGAGGTAAGTTGTACCTTGTGAGACCCTATCTTGTCGTAGAGGCTCCATGGAGGTATAGCTGGCGTATTGGGTCGGCACGACTTTGCTGCTTCCCTTTATGCGATGCGACTCGAGAATCTACCGATCCTGTGTGACGCGCACGGGATGGTCCCCTCGACAACGCCTAAAAACGCGGTACGTACTAGTGGTGTAAGGGGATGCATGTTGGCCCCCACCTTGATTCACAATGGTGAAGTAGTAAGGTGGGGGCGCTGGTCGGGGGGGCAGGTAAGTAGCTGCACCTCCCATCTACTTCCCCGGACCCTGTCGAGTAACAGCGGTGTCTATGGTCATCACTCTCCCACACACCAGACACAATCCCCCACCCCACCCCCACACACACTAGTGATGGCCAAAGTGTTCTCCCATACATCAGACAACCCACACACACACACACATCGGTGATGGCCCAAAACCCTATTCGCAACCCTATTTGTAAGGCTATGGTCTAGTGGGGTTCGACGTCTGTGTCAAGGTGTCCCATTTTCGGCGGCAGGTGACCAGGACGCAAAGTGGGTTGTTAGGGGGGGGGGAAAATTGTGGGGACCGGTCCTTGACGAAATTGCGGACTACCTACAACTAGCTTGGGTAGAACCGGAACTTTTGGAAAAAGGAAGGACCGGTCCTCGGGTGGAAGTGGACCCCCAAAAAAAGTGGGGGGCGTTGGACTGGTCCTCGAGTAGAAGCGGACCCCCAAAAGAAGTGAGGGCATGTGAACTGCAAGAGGGCCCTCAGGCCCATGCGTTGAGGCCCGTCTTCTCAAAATAGGGAGGTCAGGCACAACGAAATAAACATTTTGCAAGATGCAAACTTGACGATTTTTTGTGCTCGGACGAACCTGCAAAAAAATCTGAAATTTTGAGAATCCATAGACGAGGTCGTGTTCTTTCCATATTATAACATTTTCAAAAAATCATTTAGACTGCGAAATAATTGTCGCGTCGATTCGGCACATTTTCCATTTTTGCCACTCAGCCATGTGTAGGCCAACTAAAAAAGTACTCCGAATTCAGTGAGTTTTCGCGCTCAGAAGAATGCGTGAAAAAAAACTGAAAATTGGAGTACTCGTAGAATTTGTTGTGATCTTTCCAGGAAAAACGCTCAATAAATTAAAAAAAATAATTCCAACTGTGAAATAGATCGTGGCCGCAATTTGACCCATATTTCAATTTTGCCATTCAACATCTCTCTCTCTCTCTCTCTCTCTCTCTCTCTCTCTCTCTCTCTCTAATATCAACAAACGGAACAAAAGTCTCTCTCTCTCTCTCTCTCTCTCTCTCTCTCTCTAATATCAACAAATGGAACAAAAGTCTCTCTCTCTCTCTCTCTCTCTCTCTCTCTCTCTCTCTCTCTGTGTGGTAGTCCCCCCCCCCTCCCTCTCTCT